GGGGACGGCGTGCCGGGCAATCCAGCGTCCTTCCCGCTCACCCTCACGATCCCGCTGGCCACGTGAGGACAGGACAGTGGCGGCAGAACACGGCACAGATGACACAGAGCAGAGAAGACGGGGACCCCCCCCCACGGGAAACAGACAGGGAGCAAAATCTGGAAAAAGTGACACGGACAAGATGCACCGTACCTGTGAACAAAGCTTCCTGGCCACCAGCCCCTTCCCGCCCCAGAAGCACAGCCTTGGGAGGCCTGGCCTCGACCTTCTCCTGACGAAGACCAAGGCAGCCAAGCCTCAGGGACACTTAGCTCCACTGATTTCTATCTCTTTAAAAGGACCTTCCTCCACGAGACACCCTGAAACATGAACCCAGCCTGGCACACGCAGAGGAAAAGAACCTCCAAGAACAAGCTGAGTCAGGTATCGCCAGTGACCTTCCAACCACCCCCGAGGGTGGGGGGGGAGGAGCAAGATCCTCACCACTGCCCAGGCCAGCCACTGCCCAGTTGGCAGTTCCAAGCTCTTACCCAGTGTCCAGCTAGCTGCCTGCCACCCAGCAGGGGAACGAGTGTCATGACACATGCAGAGCAGACTGCACAGCTCCGTCAGTGTGGTGGCTAATTTTATGTCAACTTGACTTGGCTATGGGGTGCCCAGATGTTTGGTCAAACATTGTTTCTGGCTGTGTCTGTGAAGGCATTTGGGGAGAGAATAGCATTTGGCTTGGAGCTCTCCCAAGGAAAGCGGACCTCCTATCAAGCAAGCTCAAGGGCCCAAGTTCTCATGCCAATAAGAGAAACAAAGATGCTTCCCAGGGGGAAGAAAGCAGACAGAGAGCTCAGGAAGCAGAAGGAAACGGACCATGCCCTGTACCTTAGTGTGCGCCATGACGCTTCTCCTAAGCTGGCAGGAGACCTGGACAGACCAGCTGAACCCACTTGCCTACCTTATAATAGAAGCCAGGGTCCCTTTCACAAGAGGGATAAGTTCATGTGTGTTTTAATTAAGAAAGGTGGCACAGGGGCTGGGAAGGTGGCTCAGTGGTAGAGCGCTTGCCTTGCATGCCTGAGGCCCTGGGTTCGATTCCTCAGCACCACATAAGCAAAAAAAAAAGGAAAAAGCCGGAAGTGGTGCTGTGGCTCAAGTGGTAGAGCGCTAGCCTTGAGCTGAAGAGCTGAGGGACAGCGCCCAGGCCCAGAGGTCAGGCCCCACGACTGGACCCAAAAAAAAAAAAAAGAAAGAAAGGTGGCACAGAGACCAAGAGATCCATGGAGCCAAACTGACAGCTGCACCCAGGATGCTCCCCGCCAACACATCCCAGTAACACACAGTGGAGACTGACCTCTCACAGTGTCCCAGGTCCACGCAGACCCAGTCGGGGTAAAGGAAGGGCAAACTACACTCGACAATCGATACCACACAGACAGTTTAGCAAAAGGTAGAAGATAGCGTGACTTTCTGGGAAAGAAGCTGTCTAATCTTCAACTAGGTGAAAGATATCAACAAACCAGTCTGGCCAGCTTGCCCCTCATATCAGGGGCCACCACCAAGGGGCTTACCCTCCCCCACACCAGAGGCTACCACCCACAGGCTTACCCCCCCACACCAGCGGCCATCACCCAGGGTGGCCATAAAACCCACGCTAGCCCTCCTACAAACCACTGCCCAGAGGAGGGTCTTGGGCCCTGACCTGTCTCAGGCCAAACACACCTTTCTCAGACAAACTACTCAGGAGAGGGTCTTGCCTGTTGCAAACACACCAATCATGAGCCCTGGCCAGGCCGCCATCCTGAGGCCACTGGCCTGAGAAGGAACAGCCTGCTTCAAACATATCAATGTGACAGGGAGGAGGGGGGGAAGAAGGAGGGCACGAAGCCAGGGCCACGCTGCGGGACAACTGGTTTTAGGGTCCACTGTTAACTCTCCTAAGCTCCTTTCACTTCCTCTTAACTCTTTCCAACTGTGCTCATCCTTCCTTGTTTTATTTCTGTACTACCTGAGAATAAGAACCCACTACACTCTTGTCTTGTACATCGTATGTTTTTATTTTTTAACTGTCATTAAAAAATAACAAAAACCAGGAGCCGGGCGCACCGGTAACTCACGCCTATAATCCTAGCTATTTAGGAGGCTGAGATCCAAGGATGGAGGTTCAAAGCCAGCCTGGCAGGAAAGCCCATGAGACTCTTATCTCCAATTAACTACCAGAAAACCAGAAGTGGAGCTGAGAGACAGCGCCCAGGCCCAGAGTTCAAGCCCCACCACTGACCAAAAAAAAAAAAAACACCATGAAAGGAAAAGCTGTTAAATGGGAGCTCAGAAGACACCCTCCAGAAAGTGAGGCGTCCACTAGAACACAGCCACCAAGCTACATCCACACTCCTGACAGGGTCTGCCGTCCAGCACATGTCAGGAACATCCACAAGTCATCAAAAACTGAATGAACCTGGGGGCGGAGGGGGGGCGAGGAGGTCCACACTGGGTGAAGCCAGCCAGGCTCAGAGACAAAGGACACATTTTCTTGCATATGTGGGAAACTGACCTAAAATGAAGACACATAAAAGACATCCAGGGCCATATGCACGTGTGCCGACTCGGGCACAGTACACACAGGGTGGACTCCCACGGTGTAACCCCTTTGAACAACTAACAGATAGTCTAAGGAAATGAACACAAGGAAGTGGAACACGTCTGAGGCGGCAGAGTGGGGGATGAGGGGAAGGGGCGGGAAAAGGGAGCAGGACTCACGGATGAATGCCGAGATAATATTTAATGCACCCATGAGAACACAGAACTAGGAAACTTGAGGGGAAAGGCAGGGACCAGACGGATGGGAGAGAGCGATGGGAAACACGACACGGATAGGATGTGTCACCCATGGAAACAGACACACTGAGGTGAAAGCGCTTTGTACAATGATTTCAAGGCAATTAGCAAAAGAAAGGAGGGAAAGAAGAGAAAAGGATCAAAATGCCTATCATTTAAAGCATGGATTATGCATAGGTATTTTCCTCTCTCTCTCTCTCTCTCTCTCTCTCTCTCACACACACACACACACACAATGTCCAAAACTCTAAACACCCAAGAAAGGTCAACGTGACTCATCATCAGATAAAACCGTAATGAGCCACCACTGCCCCCAGGACTAAAACCAAACGGGTGGCAACACTGAGGGGTTCCAAGTTTTACAGTGCTTAGCACTCCTGTAATTCATGCGTCAGAAATGACCAGAAGTGGTTCTGGGAGTCAGGCCCCAAACAGGAGAAAGAAACCACATAGTAACTCAAAGTAAATTTTGACACAAAGCATTATTTTGCTATGACACTGGATTGGAGTAGCGAGAGATCAACAGTATGAAGTTAGGAACATTCTGAAGGGGGCTGGGAAGGTGGCTCAGTGGTAGAGTGCTTGTCATGCATGCATGAAGCCCTGGGTTCGATTCCTCAGCACCACATAAACATAAAAATCTGGAAGTGGCGCTGTGGCTCAAGTGGTAGAGTGCTAGCCTTGAGCACAGAAAGGCTCAGGGACAGTAGGCCTTGAGTTCAAGCCCCAGGACTGACAAAAAAAAAAAA